ATTTTATTTTATTTCATAAAAAAAAAAAAAAAAAAACACTTATAAGAGTCATTTGTTTGTGAGTCAGACTACACTGGTCACACTCTATAAAGAAACCTCAACAGAAAGATGGGTTTTCTTGCCATTATTTTGCAGTACAGACTTCAAAATCAATAACCACTAAAACAAATTTTTTTTTTTTTTTTTTTTTTTTGGTGCAGCGCTGTTGGTTAACTCAATATATACACAAATATAAAATAATGTTAGCAAATGAGAAACATGCAACTTAATTAAATAAAATAATTTATATTTAAGAATTATTGCTAAAAGTGTGCATTATCCACTGACAGAGTGGTACATTTTAAAACCTACAAACTGCAGTTACTCCAAGTGGACATTGTTATATCCGTCTGTCAATACCCAGAGATGCAAATTTTTGCAGAATATTTACAGAATTTTCAGGAATGGAATTAAATGTTGTTTAAAAAAAACAAAAAAAAGAATCTTAAACAGAGCTGAAAGTACTAGTCTCGTATTGGCAGCTACAATAAGATTAGCCTAAACATTTAATAAATGAAATGCCAGGAGTAGGGGATAATATTTTATAAAGTTCAGACAGTTCCCCTTCATGGGAACTTCGAGCTGCGTCCTCTAGGGGTCGCTATGGGGGAACGCCTCGTCGTGACCCGTGTCTGAAGCATACATTGAAAAAACACCAACTCGTTGGCCGGCGACAGCCATGACGTCACTACCGGTGCGACTATAGTATAAATAGGCGCCGGGAGCACACATCATTCTCTTCTTCGTCTTCATTGACTGTTCTGTTTGAAGCGTGCATTTCCAAGGAAAAAGTAAGAGCTATCTCTATTTATTATGGCGAGCACTAGCAGAGCATTTAGAAGGTGTGTGCATCCGTGTCATCGCTATTTGACACCAGATGACACACACGATCTATGTGTTGTTTGTTTGGGCGAAGAGCACGCACGCGATGTCCTCGAGGGGGCAATCTGCGTGCATTGCGAGTTTTTTCCAATGAAAAAGCTCAGTTTTCGTTTGTCTCTCTTTTCAAGTAAAGAGGGGCAGTCTACTCAGGGAACCATGGTTACATAAGTAACCTGAGACGTTTTCCATTTTCCAGTTCTGCAATATCTGCAGAATGTTGTGCCTGAGTGCAGATGCTGTTTAAGTCTTCTCAAAGCCTGAAAAAACAAACCGTGGAAAAACATGCCTCTACCTACATTCCTGAAGAACTCCAAAAACATACGTATACACACAACTCACTGCAGTTTCCAGCTGAAATAAACAATAGTAGCAGTAAAACACCAAAAACTTTTATTCCTAACTTGTGTTTGAGCAGTTCCTTGCACAATACTATGTTATGACCTCAAAACACGCTTACCATACCGCATGATTTGGAACTAGTACATTTTCACGTTTGCATCACATCATATCCATTTGTACTGATTTTCTGATGTGGTAAACTTGCTCGGTGGCTCACCTGGTACAGCATTGCTCTTGCGATACAGAGAGCTCAGCTGCGAATCCTGTGAAGCATGAGTCACGATAAAAGAGCTTTAACAAGTGTACTTTCATCATACATTTGCTTTCAACACTAGCATTAAGGATTAGGGTTTAGTGTAAGTGTAAAAACGCGATAGAGCTCCACTCACCGGACATTTCATTCCGAACTGCTGTGATCAATACATCAGCCAACGTAATAAAATTTTGTCAGATTAACATTCATCTGTTTCAGATAAAACTGAACACGCTTTTAGCACCACTCTCTGGACATTTCACTTTGGAAGTGTCGCGAAACCTACAACAAGCAATGTATTATCATTTTGCAGAAATGTCGCCACAGGCATGTTTTTCCAATGAGCCTGGGTTGGCAAAAACACAGTGCAGATGCATAGGCATAATGCCCTTTGACAATAGCAGCATTCAGTAGACAATAATAATATCCAGTTTTTCAGAAACAGAAAAACAACTTTGTCAGAAAGTCTCACAGCCAGAATGGTCATTTAGAGATTAATGTTCTGTGCTGTTCCATTATGAGTCTGTGCAATGATGACTTGACTTGTTTCCTTCAAACTTCCTTCAAACCATCACAGACAAGAACATCACTGGACGCTTCGGTACATTTCATTTTCAGGAAAGAGACGTGTCGTGTACCTTCATCTACAGCTATTTGGTTCTGTTTGAAACATAATAAAACTCCTGTGTCCTCCTCTCTTTCCCCTCAATTGGCATCTGTGCTATTATTGGAAGCTCCTAATAATTGGGATACACTTTTTTTAGAAGAGAAGAATATGTGGCAAAAAATAAATGCTTTTGTCTAATAAAGAGCATGCAGGAACATGCAGCTTGGTCCATCAGCAGGGTGATGATGGGATTTGGCTAATTGCCGCCTGCTTCGTTATGGCTGGTGCACCCCATCGCGTCTCCTTTGTTAGCTCTGTATATCGTGTGGACCGTGGGCCGTTCAGGTTCAGCAGAACGATTTGCAGAGAGTCAGCAATCTCGGCAGGGCCTTTAATCGATGATGCCCCAGAGCCACTTCTTCCCACAATGCAAATGCGCTTTTATTTCCTCGCTCTTCACTGATTTGAAAGAGATATCTATTTTTTTATTCGAGATCTGCCTGCAGCATGTACAGTGAGACTAATTATTCCCTCCCTCACTGTTTCTTTTTGCCTTCATTCCTAATTGTCTTCCGTGAGTTCCTTGGAGGGCCAACTAAACATCATGGTTTCTCAATTCAGAACGGTTTCTGAACAAAGGAAGCTTGCCGAAAAGAACCCTGGGGCAGACCATATTAGATCTTCTATTGTTGGGGTGTTAAAATAAACATGAAATCAAAATTGACCCTACTTGCTTAATTAGTATGTTTCTGGTCTTATGATTGTACAATTCATCAAACTTGATCACATTCTGATATATGCATTCCCGATGGATAATCAGTCCTCAATTGTTGTCTTGCAGGCAGTGCTCTGACATATGATGCATCCATGCTTCAGGTGACCCGAGTTCGAGTTCTGGCTCGAGGTCCTTTCCTGACCCTGTTCCACTCTTTCCCAGGGTTTCCTGCCTACCAGAGCCCTATCAATTAAAGTAAAAAAATATTGAAAGCTGAATTGTGAAATGATACATCAAAGGATTCACAATATATCAGTTCCATAACGGTTGACTTACTTTTGAGGTAATCTAACTCATTTAAAGTTCTTTAAAAATACTACGTTTAACCAGGAGGGAACAGTTAATGAAAAAGTCCGGGAAAGTGATTTTGTTCCTCTTTGAGATGGCACAATAATACGCCGCTCACTTGCGGAACGCAAGCTTCTAGAGGGCACATAACTCTGAAGTAATGAATTTAGGTAGTCCAGCCTGGATAGAACAAGAGCTTGAACAAGGAGTTGTGTTGCATGTTCTGAAAGAAAGGGCCTGATCTTCTAATACTTCAAATAATAATAAATTTAATCAACCTAGGCTTTCTGGAAAATGTGCCTCTAACTTCTATACATACAGTTCACTCAAGATTCCATCTTAAATGAACCCTAGTGTCAGTAAAACACCACCAATTCAGTTTCACACAAATTATGATTATGGGGCAGATTAGTGATTAATCAATACTTGGGGGGGCGGGTTGGGTAGTTTCTTGCAAAATATTATGTTATGACCTCAAAACACTTTTACCATAATGCTTGATTTGTAAACTAATACATTTTGATGTTTACATCAGATAATCAGTTCCATGTGTATAGCATTTCTTAAGTTCTAACTTTGCTAGCATTTTACTTTGAAAGTGTTGTGTAATGTGCAAGCAACAAAATATCAGTTTGCAGAAATGTCACCACTCATTGTTTTCCCAATGAGCTTGGGCTGAATAAATTAATAACACTTAAATGTAACCTTTAGCAAATCTCAAAACTGATTGAGATTGATTGATTTTAGTTTTAAATATTTAGTTTAAATTTATTTAGAAAAAAAGTATAGAAATTTTAATATCGGCCATAACATAAAAAAAAAATAATAATTGTCAACTTTCCAGAATTTATTTTGAAGCATCCCTTATTAAATCAAATTTAATTAATTCTTCCTTCTGCTTCAAACTGTTTTAATATGTACATTTGGTACCATAAAACATATGGTTTTTAGAAGAGTACTGCATCGGACTCCAGCTGCAGAATTCTTGCATAATTGAATAATTACATAATTCACAATTCAAAAAACGCATGTCTGACTGTCATGTTAAAATGTTCTAATAACAGTGAAATATAATAAACATTTCTCTCATGAGACCAGATAGCATCGATGTTTTAGTAAAAATACATTTTGCCCCTAAGCACTTCTGGAGATGCAGTGGCACTGCAAAAAAAAAAAAATCCATGTTTTTGTAGATTGCATTTGAAACTTTGGGGTGTATTAATGTTGTCAAGCAAATAACTAACCCTAAATTTGCTAAAAAAAATATATATATATATATTAATTTGATATTTTATTTTGAACCTTCACAGTGTAGCACTCAGTAAATATAATCTTAGCTGACCTTTCATAGAATTACGCAAAATGCTTCAATTCTCAACACGTCATGCCAGGATAGTGTTCATGTGTCATTTTGTAAGATTACTCCTGTCATCTATTTTTCAGATGGCCGTCAATCTGATGGTGCCATTCCTCAGTGACATTTCCTCTTGATGGACAGAGTCTGGCTCTCTCTGCAATATGTAATTCACAGTGTGAAGTAAAAGCTCAAGCACTGCAGAAAACACTCAGGATACTGAGGCGTTTTGTTCACACTCTACACAAATCTGATTTGGTTTTCAAATCGATCTTTAGGATTTGACTGTCTGCACTTTGTCATTTTGCAAGTGATGAAAACTGATCTGTTTGTTCAGCCATTGTAATCAATATCCGGTGTGTTTACAATGGTTACTTCAATAATGATAAAAGCGTCAGCACCATGCCAAGAGACTTTCTCATAAAACCCTGAGTAGCTGTCATTGTAGAAAGAAAGGATGGAAAGTCATGAGCCATGTGAGACATTAATGCGTATACTCTGTCCAAAACTGCTGACTCGTTTACTCGTTTACTATATACTACATAGTGAATGTGACACATGCTTCCATCCACTTTTTGTGCAGTTCTATTATCAACAAGGTGAAAACACATAAAAAAAGAAAAAAAAAGGTTGAGAAATTTGCTGTCTCTAGCCTGTTTTCATTCAGTTGTTTCCAAAGTAGTTTTTGCTAAATTTGAAGTATAATCATATAATTTATGCACTAAAGTTAAGTGAAAAAAGATTGTGTTAAACCTTGAGAATTTTTAGTGATAAATCAGCTATATCTTTAAACATTTTGATGCGCTACACCTTTTCTTTTTAAGACCAAGATCCTCAAGATAAAATCCACAAGCAAGGATCCAGTCATACTGAATGGAAGTCCCCTGGAAGAAGTCCAATCCTTCATCTACCTGGGCAGCATCTTTGACCAACAGGGCGGTACAGAGACAGATGTCAAGGCAAGAATTGGCAAAACAAGAGCAGCCTTCATACAGCTCAAGAATATCTGGAACTCCAGAGACCTGTCCTTGGCAACAAAGATCCACGAAATTCAAATCCAACATAAAGTCAGTGTTGCTGTATGGAGCTGAAACCTGGAGGACAACCAAGATGATCATCGGTCTAAATCACCATCAGCAACCAACCGCCAACCAACATCAGCAGGCGGGCATTTAGGTGGCCGCCCAAGAAACACTTGGTGACATGACCTTGAGGCTGACATCATCAAGATGGGATACACCTGGAACCATTTGGAAAGAATGCCCAAGAACAGAGGACTCTGGAGGTCTGTGGTTGGCGGTCCATACCCTGGCAATGGTGATGGGCATTAGTAAGTACACCGTTTCTGCAAAAAATCAGAAAAGATAGAAACCTGGCTACAGTCACATAAAAAATGAGTGCCTGTGGACACAGCAAACCACGTGTGAATGGATCAAGTGTGGTTTGGATCAAGTTTATCCCATTTCATGTGTTTTTGTACTTAAAAATCACATGGATTTGAGTTAAATTTGTAAAAAAAAAAATCGAATTTTTGCTGTCCCAGGGTAGAATTAAATGCCCACATGTTAAGAGTTATTGGGCAATGACTGCTGTGTTCGTTTAACGCTTACTAATGGCACATCTGGATAAAACAGACCTCAAGAGTCTACCGTGCAGCTATCAACTATATCGGGACCTTTTTCAGCAGTTAAACAAAATATTTTGGGCGACACAGGAAGCTCATGTGGCCCACAAGGATTTCAAATGCTCCCGGCCTCATTAAACATTATGTCAGTGGAGCAGCACCTGTGTCTTCTTTGACCTGCGGCTGAGTTTCATTACCGAAAGAGAGCAATGGACGCCAAGAGGAGACGCATGCAAATGCCGCAGCGCTGCCTGCAGAATACATGACGCCATTTGTTATTATTATGTCCCACACAGCAGATGCCTTCATCCAGGACAAATTACGCAACGCTGGCAGCACTCTTTGCATATTATTGATTTAAAGAGCGTGACAGAGGATGAGGAAGAGGAATTTCACCGTAAATGCAACACTTCCTTGAGAAGTGAAGCTGGGCCTTTATTACTGAAACACTTTATCCCCCAAGGATGGGGCTGAAGGGACTGTGCCCTTATCACTGTAAGAATACCAATGGTGCTTTTATGTCGGCTTGGAATAATTCATGGAAAGCTGTAGAGAATGGAAAGACATGCGTATGTGGAATGAATGTGGAGATGTGTTGGAGAAGCTGGACAGATTTAACTATTCAAGGTCAGGAGGCCTGAATTACCAACTGCTTCATTTATGTCTGACCAGCAAGATGTTGTGAATAAATAAAGCCTCAGGCTTGTAAGATCGCATTAAACTGCAGACTTGCCAACACTGCTTTTGGTTGAACTATCACTTTAACGTCATTCTTTGATGGAAGTGATTTTATTAAATGTGTTTTATTTAAATGCATTTCATATATCCTAAATACACACAATGAAATTATATTTTCATACTTTTTGTGTAATTGAAAAGAATTACAGTTTTATTAGAAATGACACACAATACAAATATTCTGTTCATAATTATGTTCTGCTCATAATATTATGAAAACCCTAATTTTTCTGTTTTCTTCTTGCATCATGTTTCATATTTCATCTCAAGCTGTACATTTCCAGCATGTTAGTAATGCTGGAAGTAATGCCACAACTGTGCAGTGTTGTTATTGTTAACTAAAACAATTAATTTTTTGTAAAAGAAATGAAGCTGAAATAAAATAAAATGTAAATATTCAATGAAAAAATTTGTTGAAGTACTAAGAATTACTAAACCTGAAAGCTATATAGAAATATTTAAAAATAATAAAATTAACAAATAATTTAAACTATTATTTAAAATTTAAACTGAAAATATTAATAAATATCATAATAATAACCCTGCAACTGTGGAATCATTGTATCTTGTGGAAAAAAAATATTATAAATGTTATTAATTTAATCATATATATTAACCTTTAGGTTGAATATGTTAATAATATTTGTATGACAGATTTTTATTTTTTTTATTTTAAGATTAAAAGTCTGGATAAATGTATTACCCTGTATTGATGAAAACATCAATAAATAAAAGTCATTTGAAAAATAAGTACAAAAAATCATTGATGAAAGTCTGATAAAAAGGTTTCCAAGACAGTTTTAACTTCACCTTTATATAACAAAAAGGGGGAAAAAAATACAAATGAAATATCCACCCCCTGGGCCATAAAAGTGTAGTTAAAGAAACACAGATAAGGTATTGAGGTTTATCTTTTTTGCCTTGAACAGGTACACTGGTGTTTACATTTGCTAAGCCACATATACATTATTTAAATGACCACTGCATCTATTATAGACTCTGTATGAAATATTGACTATGGTTTTACACTTGCATAGAGCTAATCTTTCCACTCTCTTCCACACAGCCGCTGAAGATGCACTGCAGCAGCTGCGCGCTGGTCACCAGCTCGGGTCATCTAACTGGTGGGGGTCGCGGAAAAGAGATCGATCAGGCAGAGTGCGTCATCCGAATGAATGACGCACCCACGGCCCGTGGCTACGGGCTGGACGTGGGTCACCGCACAAGCCTGAGGGTCATCGCTCATTCCAGCATGCAGAGAGTGCTGCGCAGCCGCCATGAACTCCTCAACTCCAGTCAGGACACGGTCTTCATCTTCTGGGGACCCAGCAGTTATATGCGACGTGATGGGAAAGGGCTGGTTTATAACAACCTGCGGCTTATGAACCAAGTGCTGCCCAAACTCAAGGTCTATATCATCTCCTGGCAGAAAATGCTCCAGTTTGATGAACTATTCAAGAGAGAGACTGGCAAAGACAGGTAATGGGCACATTATTATGTTTTACAGAGCCAATTTAAAAGTGTAGCATTTGATAAGAGGCCAATTTTAGTATCTCTAATGATACGGTTCAGAAATCAGCTTAAATATGTGATGACGTACTACTTTGATGTTTCATTGTATAAAGGCAAAATATTTTCAAACCCAATTCTGAACTAAAATGGGTCTGCAGAATTTGATTAATCTAAGGCATGCATTTACATTATTGAGATACCAGACGTTTTCATCATTGTGCCAATGTGCCATGACATGCCCTAATTTTTAGTGACCTATTTTTATTTAAAAAAAAGGTGTTATAAGGGAAAGATAATGCGCGTCCTAGAATAGTCTGGAGAGTCCATTCTTGTTCCACATTTACTGCTCTCTGAGAAGACCAACCTCTTTTTCCCTTTCAACTCCAGGATCACATGGGAAATCAGTTTGTGTGGGATTCTAGATTTGAACATTAAGCCAAGATCTCCACTTAATCAAAGCAAAAAAAGAGCTTAGTGTGTGTGCAGCGAACGGGGGTTGAATATATTCATTTTTGTCCACAGAACATGAATTTGTCGTGCACTCTTAAAAATCAAGTTTTTCTATGGGCATCAATGGTTCCATAAAGAACCTTTAACATAAATGGAACCCTTCCATTGCACAAAAGGTTCTTTATAGTGGAAAACAGTTCTTTAGATTTTTTTTATGTTCTTCACACTATGAAAATGGTTCTTTTAAGAGCTGTTCACTGAAAGGTTCTTTGGGGAACCAAAAATGTTTTTTTTCTATGGCATAGCTGTGGAACCCCCTGTTGAAAGCTTTATTTGTAAGAGTGAATACTGTAAATTTACAGGGCCTGGTTATATTCTGATACTTCAAACGAACACTAATCTAGTTATGGCGATGTGTCATCCTGAAGATCTCATTAGTGAATGTCTTTTCATATGGGTTTTATCGCAGAAACACTATTTTTACAGGGTGCTTCTTAAAACTCTTTGGAGGCTCATTAGTAAGAAATGCAAGTATTACCATTGATGAACTGGCTTAGAATATGATACAGGAGTGTTTTGTAGCTGCTGTCCCTTATTACCACAGCAGTCTTATTCCAGCCGTCAAAGTGTGTCTTTCTTTCATCTTGTGTCTGTATTGTTGGTGCTATTCCCAAAAGTTGAAATTGAAAAGCGAAGACAAAAGATTGCTGTGAGAATCATATCAACCACTCGCAACAAAAATCTGCCTCTGTTAGATGTCACAATTGGACTGGAGAAGGATGGCTGCTGTTGCTTTATTGGTTTGATCAGTGTTTTCCAAAGTTTGTTTGCATACAGAATTACAAAGAGCTGGTCTATTACTTTAAGAAACTATAGATACTAAGAATCGCTATTGCCTATAAATGCATCAATCACAAACAATCATATATCAGTAATTATTGTTTTTAGCAGGAAGTTTAAACTCTTGCATAGTCATGTGGGAATTAAGGTAGAAAAAGGGAAGCAGTTCTTATTTACAATGACTGCATTAGAAAAAATTTAAAAAAAGAATGATGACTGAGTGATGTTTTAGGTTGAAAATCTAAGATGCAAATTCACAAATCCTACTATGGCTGAGGCTGAGCTCATTAATATAATTTAGATCATGCAGAGCCTAGAGTGCTTAGTTTACTTTTTGATTTTGTGCACAAAACACAAAAAGAGAAATTTAGAAGAACCATACAGTGACAGCATATAACAGGGGTTCCCAAGTCTGGATCTCAACGTCCACTTTCCTGCAGAGTTTAACTCCAACTTGATCAAACTCACCTGCCTGTACAGATGGTACTCAACCAGAACAATACTTTTACCACCGCTTTTGCATTTGAAAACCTGCAATAATTAATACGTTTAACTGTCCCCAGACTTTAGGCCTATAAAGTAAAAAAAAAAAAGGAATTTTCTGTAGGCTACTGATTTTTTTTTTACGGGAAATGTCCATGAAATTAATGGACAATGTCCAGGTAGAAAACTACCAGTACTTTTTCAGTGTTTTTTTTTTTTTTACTACAGTGTACATTGACAATGCAGGCCAATTCTCTGAACCCTGCATGCGCATGACAAGCACAAGAAATGTTTCATTGATCATTCGTTGTAGTTTAAACATGAGGACTCTAATTCTTTCCCTTGGTTAAAGTTCCATTGTTTTTCATTTAAAATGAGTAAACCTTTTATGTTTCTTCGTCTTTTTCTTTTCTTTTTTTTTCTTTTTTTCTTTTTCTTTTTTTTAGTTAAATCTCAGGAATGAATAAATACTGTGCTCTCACATTTTAACTATCATGAAGGAAGGATTTAGTAAAAAGTGATCAACAATTTCTTTAATTGTTGGATATTATATTTTTTGCCATGTTATGAGCAGGGCTGTTTAGTATACTGGAATAGATGTGTCAAAAAAAGGACAGATAGCAAGTAGGCTATGTACTTAAACTGCTGGAATGCATTATTGAATTATTAATTTTAAACCTTGTTTGTGACAGTAATGGTGGCAATATAAATATGCACACCTCAAATACTGGCTAATACTGTACAAATGATCACAATTCCACTCTATTGAGCAATGGTGTCAACCATCCTTTTGCACCACCTGATGGTGATTTTGCGAATGAGTTTCACATGACTGATTTGTATTTACCATGGCGGTGATAGGCATTCTGGTTGACTACCTACTGTAACTTTCTAGTAATCCTGAAGGCCTTGTGTAACAAAGTTCGTAGTTCGGGAAGAAGGAGACGGGAACCGGCGAAAATTCAAACAAAACTTAAAAAATAAAATAAACACAAAATAGCGCGACAAACAGAACCAAAACACAAAATAAAGTCCAGGCCTGGTCCTCTCTCGCCTTGCACTGTCGTCACTCCTCCTTTTATCCTGCCAGAGCTCCTCCGTGGGACTCGAGACTGGTGAGTGGCGCAGGTGTCGTGCATTATCACTTACTCCACCGGCCTCGCTCCGTAACTGGGGGTATAGACAGACAGATGAGGCGAGAGAAAAGGAGACGGAAGGATGAGGAGAGACAGAGACGAGAGTGGGGCTCGGCCCTCCACCAGCTGGGTAAACTCTTCCGCGATGCCAGGCGGCAGCACTGGACAGCCCTCGGTGGACGGCCCGACACTCCTCCGCCGTCCGGTGGATGGCGACGGCTCCTCCGGGTTCGGGCAGCCGGCTGGAGCCCCCCATTCCCTGCTCCTCCCCATCATGGCGGATGGCAGCAGGCTCCGGCCTCAGGCGAACGGCGGCGACTCATTCGCTCCCTCACGGACGGCAGCCATCCCTCCACATCCCAGGCGTCCGGCAGCGAGTTCGTCCGCCCCCCCGGCAACTCACTCCA